GAGTTGGGGATAGGAACTAACTCCTGTGGGTGGTGGTATTTTAATTCTTCAGTATCGAAAACGATCTCTGGAATCAAAATGGCATTCGTAAATACTGTTTTCGTGATTTGGGAAAAATTACTTAACCACTCCATTTCCTCATGTATAATAGAGGATAATAATAACACTTCAATTTAATCTTCATTTTGAAGATTAAGTGAGACAGCACATGTAAAAAATTTAGAGCAGTGCTTGTCACAGAGCATGATCAATAAATATTTGTTAATATAGATATTTTAACCTATGGCATTTGAGTTATGTAAAGCAATAAATTCTCTCTTTTGCTTAAGCTGGTTTGAGTTGGGGTTCTATCACTTTCAACCAAAAGGGTCTTGTCTAAAACAATTAATATAAAGCATAAAGCCCCAGAGTGTATAGGCTTATGGCAGGCCAAATTCCTTTTTATGGGCTGAGGCAGAGAAAGGGGATTGAACCAACTGACCTTGGACCATCTGGCTCTCCTTAGTTTATGTCTATCAGTAATTTTACCTCCAACTCCTAGTTTGGAAAAGAGTTTCCTCATCACCATCCTATTTTTATTCACGGAAATCCTCTTCTTCTATGTTTCCTGCTATGATAATTTCTTTTAAAAATATATATAAAATACAAAAAGTGTGAAATCAAACATGAGAGTGATAAAAGAAAAGAATATTTCTATAATTAATGTACATTCTCTATTGCTTTTTATTTCTTAAATCTTAAGCTGTAAACTTTTTCCATACTGGTTTAGAGTAAATAACATCATAAGTAAGCAGCCTACATGCTAAATAGCATAATTTTCTTGGTGTTGATTTCTGGAGGGATATGCAGGGGATTTGCATGCTTAATTCCCATTAGCACCTGTCACTGGGATTTATTATCCCAGACTTAATTCTCCACTCACCACAGCCAAGAAAAAGGAAGCCCTGGTACATGGATTTAAATTAAGCTTTTTATTTTTCAGAGTGAGATAAATTTCATGTCTGTTCCTTAAACACCTATAGCATTCCAACCCTGAAGAATTCATATTTAAATTCATTTTTAGAAAATTTACCCAAATTTTATTTTATTCAACAACTAGAAAAAAGTATTCATAATTTTAAAATTTGCCTTAGGGGAAAAAGAAATCTTAATCAAGGACTTAGATAGTTTTCAAACCCATTGGCTCTCATTATTCCATTATGTTTGTTGACCATTTATTATGTGCCAGCCAGTTTTCTAAGTTCTGCATATAGAGCAGTGGAACTACTAGGAAGAAATCCCTCCCCTTGAGAAGCATACTATTGGAGAGTACATACATATACATACACACGTGTTTACATACATGTCTGCATACACCTATACATAGATGTGCTTATATACATGTACATATATGTTTATATAAAATATGTGCTAGATAGAAAATCAAACCAGGTAAATACAATTGAATGTGATGAGGTGAGTGCTATTTTATATAGTTGGTCAGAGAAGGCCTCTCTAAGGAGTGTTATTTGAGTCCAGATCTAAGTGAAGGAAGTTAGCAGCCCTACCCTCTGAAGTCTACACAGCACTGCATTATCTCTTTCATGAACAAAAATACCAGGAGGGAGCTTTCAATGAAAGTTTCACGTGCAATCATTGACTGTAGGAAACTCAGCTGCTTGATAGAGCTGATCTATTTGCTGGTACTTTCCCGGTCCTTGTTCTGGTGCTGTCAGTGTCCCCTCCCTTTCCTACTTCATCTCTACTTCATATTACCCAAACCTTCTCCTGCTCTCTTTGAGATGAATTTCAATGTTGAACTACTTTTCCTCTTCTTATCTTTTACTTTTCTTTCAAAGCATTAATTTTGTGCAGTATCTGTCATTGAGCACTTCAATGCCCCCAACAGGATTATAGGACAATTTAATTTTATTTAACTAACTAGACTTTGAGGATTCTTTCCTAATGAGCTTTAGTGGCAATCAGTCAACCAATACTAATTGAACACCAACTATATATTGGGCTCTGTGTTAGAAGCTGGGAGTGAAATGATGAACAAGACAAAATCTCTGCCTTGTTTAGTCTGGCCGGGCATGGCTCAGTGGTTGAGCATCAACCTAGGATCCAGGAGATTGAGGTTCAATTTCCCATCAGGGCACATGCCTGAACTGCAGGTTCGATCTCCAGTTGGGGGCATGCAGGAGGCAATCAATCAAGGACTCTCTCATCATTGATGTTTCTATCTCTCCCTCTCCATCTCCCTTCCCTTCCTCTCTCTGAAATCAATACAAATATATAAAAAAAAAAAAAAAAAAAATTTAAGAGTTTAATTCTAGTTAGAAAAGACAGGCAATAAAATTGTAAATGAACAAACAACTTTTGCATATTGTTAATACAATAGTGATAAATGTGGGAGTTTCTTACTGTTGTTGTCCTCGGAAAAATTGTAAAGACAAATATGAAATATAATTATAATCCTTTCTGATGACGTCATCCTCAGAATAAATGACAAGTCATGAGTGGCCTAGATGCACTGTCCAACATAGTGGTAACTATCCATGTGGCTATTTGAATTAAAATTAATTGCATAAAAATTAAAATTCTCAGTTCACACTAGTCACATTGCAAGTGCTCAATAGCCACGTGTGTCTAATGACTACCATTTTAAAGAGCATAGATATAAACATATTCACCATTGCAGAAAGTTCCACTGGACAGCACTGGTCTAGAGAGCATACAGCTGATGAGAGTATTTTGTCAATGGTAAGAATAGCAGCTAACAATTTTATGTGTTAGACACGTCGCATTATGTTTAACTCATTTATGTCTTGTAAAACCCTATGACAGTTACTGCTACTAGACCCATCTTAGAGATTAGAAAACTGAGGTACTTAGTTTTATTGTTCAATATCTGTCAACTAATAATAAGATATGCTAAAAATTAACCCAGTCAGTCTGGTGCCGGAACCTACCCTCTTACCAAAGTATCATGATATCTTGGTATGGGGAAGCTAAAGAGGGGAAAGAAGAGATTTTAGCATAGAAATAAGAAATGGCCAGATTCGTCAAGCTCTTTGCCAAGTGTGACCTTTTCAGATCTATCCAACTCATCCAAAACACATTTTATTGCCTAGAGGTTGAGATGGAGCTTGGCAGGCAACATCGTGGAATGTTAGAATTGAAAAGAACTTTGAAACCATCGAATAAAATATTCCACAGATGAAGAAACTGAAACATGCAGTTTACCTGACTTGTGCAGAATGACAGAGCAAGTTATGAACACAGCCAAGACTAGACAGCAAGCTTCCTGCCTGTGTGTGTGTTGTTTACACATTGCCCCCTTGGCACCAGAAGAGCTTAAAATTTTCCTGATATATTATTTATTATTAGCTTAGAAATGTACTAATCTTGGGAAGTGGTTTTCTTCCTCCCAGAATGTTAGCTGTGTAAGTGTGTATTAACCTTTTAATCCATCACTTTCCTTTCGCCTAGCCTTCCTTATTTTATCCATCCATTCTTACATTCCTCCTTAGCTACCCAGCCAGTTCTTCCCTGAAAAAAAGGTTTGAAAAATTCATAGCAGTGCTGAGTCCTTGCACACACCGTTAGGAGTTTGGAAAGCATGTCATAGGTTCCACCATCACTTTAAGTGAGGCTCTACAAATCTTGTGCATTGTTTCTGGGAGTTTCTCCTGGAATCCGGACCATCTCCTCAGGGTGCAGGGAGGTCTAGCTCTGTTGAAGGATGAGTTTTCCTTGAGCTTTTGGTTCCTGTTCCACTACAGAGAGGTTACAGGAGTCCAGAGCGTAGAGCGGCCTGAAGTGGAGCTGGGAATCCTGAAATCGCAGGCGCCTGGGGCACTGCGAACGCTTCATGCCTTCTTCCCCGGCACCCAGGACTTCAGCTCCAGCCCGAACCCGGCTTCATCCATCTCAAGACCCGAAGTGGTAGCACGAGTCCAGCCCCCGGGAGTCTGGCTGAGGCTTCGCTGGCGCCGTGGAGAAGCTGGCAGGCGGTGGGCTGAGCTCCGCCGGGCACAGC